GAACAAACAGGGGCTTCTTTCAAGCCTGGACTTCCTGGAGAAGCAGGAGGAATCTGGGCCACCAAAGGCTGCTGATGAGTGGCATTAGAAGAGCCTTTGAGACTGACAGAGGCTGTAGGAGATAAGGAAGAGGTAGCTGCATTTGAGAAATGAGAAGGGCTGTAAGAGGACCCACTAGTGGTGGTAGAGGGTCCTTTGTCAATAGACCGAGCCAGAGGGGAAGCTAGAGTCCCCACTGGAAAAGCGGCCGCAGCAGCAGAAACTGTCTCGTTTCTGGAAGGAAGGGGAGAAATGACAGATTGCTGAGAAGGGTAAGAAGTCCCCAAAGAAGAGTGATCTACAGAAATGTTATCGGTTATAGGGTCTGAAAGGACATTAGGGGCTGTATGACATACAGGTTGCACAGGAAAGCCAAGACAACTCTGATGTAAAGGTGTAAGATGAGAGCCCAGAGAAGGTAGGAAAACTGGGGGGACAGTGGGAGCCACAGGAACAGATTGGGTTGAAAGAAGTAAGGCATCAGGTGGACTAAGGGGTCCCTTTAGGCCGAGGCTTACAGAGTTCTGTGGAGAAGTCAGAGCTGAGGAAATAGGGATGCCTTTGACCTGAGGAGAAGTGATGGCTAGGGGAGTACTGGGTGGTGTCTGAGCACATGAGGTTACTCCAGATTGAAGAGAGGCCAGGGGAGTTACAATATGGGAAAGGCCAGCACTGGCTGTATTTGGAGGGATGGGGGTAACTTTTGGATCATGGACTACTTGAGAAGGCGTTTGAATAGGAGAAGTCTTTGGTTCTGAGGACACAATGGGAGCTGACAGAGGTGTACATGACCCTGACTCAGCCAAAGCAACTGAAGGAGGTGAACTAAGAGGGTTAGGTGGATAAGCAGAGCTCTTCTGAATTGAGTGGGGAGCCAAGGCCACCAGGGTCAAGGGAGCTGAGGAGGACTGGGCACCTTTCATAGTTGTAGTTATCATGGGTGAGGCCAGGGCTAAGGCAGCTGGGGAGATGGGAGGCCCTATTAAGTTTGGTAGGAAAGCTGGGGTGTCATGGGGGAAATGGGCTGTTTCCAAAGGCAGAGCTGTCCCAGAGGATGACTGGGGAAAAGGGGGTGAGACAATAGTAGAGGGAGAGAGGAATGGGGTAGGTTGGTTAGGGGTTGCCAGAGAGCACTGTTCAGGGGGCAGAGAGCAAGGAGGGGGAGGGGGGGGTCCAGGCTGCCCTAAGGCAGCAGTGACACTTAAGGCTGAAGACACAGGAAGCACAGCTGGAGAAGAAAAGAAAAAAAGGAAAAGAAAAAAAAGGGGGGGGGATAAAAAAGGAAAGGGAAGGAAAAAATAAAAGGTGAGTTATGCAGCCCAACTCGGCACATGTTTCATAAGGAACACTGGAATTTATAATCTGAGGAAAATCACCATACAGGATTGGACGAAGGTGACAAGTAATAGCAACCATTCCAAAACACGCTTCGGTAATCTATTAAGAACACACACCCCCCTCCCCTCCTCAAATGAACCCTAAGTCTTTTTCATAGGCCACAGAATCACCATCAGAAGAGCTGTTCCGCTGTTATTTACCCAAGGGCCATAAACAAACTAAATGATACTGACAACTGGAACAAGGAAAGTAGTAACTGGTGATGATGGGGAATCAGGTCACTCAGTAGTCCTGTGCCTCAGTTTACTACTCAAAACAATCAAAAACACTCACAAATGAATTGTACTCCACAGTTCTTTACAGACCTTCCCAGGTAATGTTAGCTCTTTAGACATCAATCTCAGATGAATCAGACTGCCAGGGAGAGAGCTCAGTCACAAGGGTAGGGACAGCATTATGAAACTAACCCAACTTGTTAAACCAGACTGTGGTTCTATTTTGGAAAAAGAATGGCAGTGGCGAGGATACATTAATCCCCACCCCTTAATCTGGGTAAGTATGTCATCCTGCCAAAATAGACCAGTATCTGGCACTAAAGCTAATCAAGATTCTCTGAATGACTGAAAAATCCTTGCTTACTATTCAGGACATACACAGGAGTACAGCAACAAAAGCTCAACACCTTGAAGGGAGTATTTAAAACAAAACAAAAAGCTTGTAGCATTCAATTTCACAATTTTCTTAAGTGTATGGTACCAAAGAAAAGACAGGTAGCTCAACTAGTTTTTCCTGAAGAGTTGGTAGGTCAGCGCCTCGATTAAAGTGCAAATGCTTTCAAACATAATTGGAATTTGAAACCTAAAATGTTTCTCTCTGGCTGGACCTCAAGATGGAATAAGGGCCCAATTACTTCGTTTAGACACCATAACCAATTCCCTGAGTTAGTTTTCTCATGTATTCTAATTATTTAATTATATTTCAAAAAAAAATTCTGAGCGATTATCACTGGTATTCCCTTAATATTATTAAATGTACTCCGTAAACTCAAACTATTCAGGAATAAGTTTAACAGCACTATTTAAGAATTGCTTCAGAAATAATAACATTACTTTTGAAGCTTGAACCCAGACTATTCTAAATTCATCTGAATTTCAGTCTTCATATTTATAAAATCAAGTTGTCAACGAGACTCTGCTTTTTAATTTAGCACTCAAACTACAGGATCTTTAGTGCTAGCAGTCTTTTATGCTTTCCCTTAAGTGCCTTATATTATAGTTCAAGGATTTCACATAGCTCATTCCCCAGCTCAGGGACCCCCTCCTTCTTTTCTAGCAGCTGTATTAATCCCTTCAGCTGCTGAAATCAGACAGGTGGAGAGGGAGAACCTTAATGTTTTCAACAATAAACAACTCCATTTTAATTCCGGGAGACACAAATTGCCCTTAAGTGACAGGTGCAGTTTAAAAAAAATGAATTCATCATAAAAAAAAAAGGTAGGAGATTACAGCCTAAAGGATTCCCTTCATTTAGTTTTGTACAACTCAGCAAGATCTTGATTAAAAATATTTTTCACTACTTCCTTTCAAGTTTTATAGAGATGTATTTTAACCGTAACAGCAGTCAAAGGAAAGCTTTATTTCAATCCTGGGTTCCAGATGAACTCTTGATACAGGCACTGTTCCAGCATACTAGAAACATCTCATCACCAATCCACAAAACAAGTAGACCGACCTAAAAGGGCACTTGGTCCCAGCAGGACGCATCATCCATCACAGCACACGCCTCAGACATGTGATGAGGGCACAATGCCAAACCCTGGTATCTAAACCCTTGATGCAACTTGCTGGCTGGAACTTCACAAAAGCTCAGGTCTCTTTGGCCAGCCAGTGTGCCATCCAATTCTAATAGGTAAGAATCACTGAGCCCCCTCCTCCCTTGCTCTGCCCAGTGTTCCTGAATGAGGTGGGTTCCACAGCAGAGATCCCTTTGAGGCAGTTGCCACACCCACAAAACAGGTCAGGGAGTCCTGAACCTTAAATGTACTTTAAAAAAAAAAAGAAAAAATCCCACCCCTTAATGAGTCCCTCCAGGACAGCAGTTAATATTATTTCGTGCTAGAGCTACAGCCTTCTTATATTTAATGAGCTAACTCTGAAAGACAGAAGTGTATTCCCTTTGCCACTTCACCCACCAAATGGTCTTAGGGTTACTCTCACAATCTTAATTATCGACAAGGGGGGCTAGGGGGACCTACCTGTCTCAGCCTGGGGCTGTGGCAACTCCTGCTCTGTAGCAGGGACGGTTTCTGTGGCTTCACCGGGCATTTCTGAAGGGAATAGAAAGGACGCCTGAATTGACTGGAATCCGTTCTGGTGCTCAACCCAGAATCAGGTATTCTTAAACACTCTGCGGGGGTCTGTGGGGAGGGGAAAATAGTGAGGGTGTCTGGGGACAGGCCTCCCCAAAGCAGCTGGCGATAGGTGAGAAATGTGACCCGACCCTCGGATCTCTAATCTAGCGAATCACCTACTTTCACCGCTCCTCTTCACTCCGCAGAGTGGACTTTCCAGTTCCCAGCGGTTCGTTTTATCCCACACTTCAAATCCCACAAGGGCAGCAATGAGAACTGCGTTCGCAACCCGAGAAAGGATCCCGGTCTGGCTCCCGACCACTGGAGACTTGGGACGCTACTTTGAACCACCCCCGCTGCTACGTTCACGCTGCCTGGGGCTGGGACCTCCAGGACTCCCGCTTGCAGACTTTTGGGAATCAAGAGGGGAAAGAAAATGCCTTAACTCCCAAACACTCTTTTATCACAATAAGAACTATTTTAGGAGGGCAATTTGCAAGGCCGTGACCCATTAACCTCCTTGAGATTCCCATGAAGCCGTTCCCAATAGAAGCACTCTACTTCCGCCCCCAACACCGAAGGGCTCCCATCACACCAGCGCCAGATTCCTGGCCCGGCCCGCAGCCCTTTTGCCAGGACACCACTTGCAGACCCCATTTTGTCCGGAGACACCAAAACCACAATTCCCAGGGTCGAGTAGGGACCCGGTAGCTACACAAAGCCTCCATCTCGCCTTAGCTGTCAGTCCCCGGGGTAGCTTAGCTCGCATGAAAGGCAGATGGCTGTGGATAAATAGTAGGAGCAAAAACACAACTTACTGTGAAGGGAACGCGGAACCAAGATGGCGGCAGTAAGAGACCAACCGAGAGCGTGACCCACGCCTATTGCAGAAAGCAGCCTGGCAAAGGAGGAGGGGCTAGAATTCGCTTCCGGGTTAGAACTAGCAGGCTGTCACTTCCTTCAGAGTGACTCTTCTGCGTTCGGCGCGCCTACCCGAGTGGGGGTGGTGGAAGTCTAAATAAGGATAAGAGTTCAGTACTGGACGCAATGGTCTGGCACTCTGCTCCGAGACACGCGGTCATTAGATTGCCGACCCCTTCCTGTCCCCCAGGTCGTAGCATGTGGATACGCGAAGGGTGAATGCAATAAGAAACCAACCACTGCACTCTGGTCAGCAAGATAGCCATAGCATTATTTCGACTTTTGGTTTTCCTTTCTTAAATAATGCAGGAAAATATGAGGTTTTAAATAATATGGAATGCCACAGATTTTATTCACGCCATTGTAAGTAGCGGTGACCTACAAGTTAACTTTTTTATTTTTGCAATACACAGTTTAGATTGATGTTGAAGGTATCTCTACAGAAAAAAAACTTACTTATACAATTTTTTTTCCTAATATTTTAGGCACTTACTAGATATCCTGAAACTTATCTATTTGGGTCCAACATCCCACGTTAAGTATCCATACAGTAGTATTTGAAAAGCAGAATGCAAAATGAGTGTTTTATGAAAAGGCCTTGACTCCCATACCCATACTGTCAGCCCTACAAAAGGACTCAACAAGTATGTTACTTAAGTTAACACTTAAGCTATGGTTTTAGGACAATTGTGACTGCATTGAGCATTTAAAATGCTCTGAAAGCTACTTTAAAATTTTCAAAATCTGTACCATAATGAAGTGAGGATTAGAATTAGTGAATTAGGATTAAATGAGGTAGTGGAGTTTACCAGGAATGATAAGTTTTGAAATTCTGGTCAGATAGAAGCAATACTGTGGTTAGGAAAACGAACTTTGAAGCCAAACTACTTTACTTTGAATCACAGCTTAATTACCTAATAGTGATTTTAGGCCATTTAATTAATCAATTTGTGCCTGAGAAACGATGATGGTAGCTACTTAAATAGGATTGTTAGGAAGATTAAGTTAAAATATGCACATTACTTAAAAAGTGTTTCTTGTTAAAACTGTAGACGGAATTTCTAATAAAGTGATCTGGATTTGTCAATGCAGTCCATTTACCTTCAGAAAAGGCCAGCAATTGCCAATCATCTCCTTAGACAAAACTACTTGCATTTTGACCATTCTCTTTCCCAGCAAGCTCATTGACTTTTCAAACTTTGTTGTTAATGACTGGCTAAGGAAGATTGTATTTTCTTTCTTTGGGTATATTTGTATATCGGGCAAGTTTGGAGATGGAGACCAGTTGTGCCCTTTGTTCCTACAATTCGTATATATATGGAAGAGTCGGCAACACAGACAGTAGGGAAATCAAATCGTCTTTCAGCATTTTCCCCCGATATCTTCAGAAATGAAACATTTACTATTTTCCAGGAGCACAATAGGCTCTATAATTAATTTTATGGGCTAGTATACCAGCTTTTATCTCAGGGATTTAATATTAAAGCATTGAAATGCTTCAATGCTAGGCATATTGGAAGCTTAAAAGATCTCATTGGAAGCGTAACACCAGTCTTTCCACTCATTCTGAGTTCCTAAGGTGGACCAATGAGTCTTTTAGTAATTTTGTATTTAGAAATTTCAAATTGACCCACTGTTTCCCCGAACTGAAGACTAATACATAGTATACAGAAGTTCAAATGAGGAATTTTGTGCAATTGTCTTTAATATTCTTAAAAAATTAGAAAACAAAGAAATGCAAGGCATTTCAGTGTGACTACATTATATTGTTTTATATAAACCAAAAGATTTAAAAAAAGATTGTGACTATAGAGAAAACAATATCTAAGGAAACACAAAAGAAGGAAAAATTTTCATAAACCATGGAAAGTATCAGATGGATAGCTTGCTTCTCAGAAGACAAAATGCAAACCAGAATAGCTGTTTTGTTTAGACTGGCTGTAAAACTAGACAAAAGAAAGATGGCACTTTTATATCTATCACAAAATCAAATGCAGGAGAAATGAAAACTTTACAATTTAAGTATCTGGATATATAGAAAGTCGAAGTGTTTTGACAAGTATAAGTTTTATGTTGATGAAGCTGGTTATTTTTTCTAAGCTGCTTCTTTACAATGTAGACCAATCTAATGGTTCCAGTGGTTCTCTAAGGGAAGAAGGAGCTGCAATTGCAGTTGTAAACAATGCTCTACTAGGTCATATTATAATTTAGTAACTCACATATTTTAAATTAAAGTTTTGGTAGGTTTAGATAGTGATTTGTAAAAGATGGGCAGTGGGGTGTTGGCCTGACCTATAAAAATATCAGTAAGCAATGAAGTGACTGCATACACACTAAAGGTATAAACCTAAATGTCTAAGACAAGGACAAAGCCCTCATTCACCTAGAATATTCACTCCAGAAATATGGAGGCTGTACCCAGTGAGCTGAGATTAAAGTATTGGGCACACTACTGCTTAGTTACATCTACATATGGAAACCGATGGAAGTATTTACATCAGAAATCTTAGAATTATCAATTATCTTTGTATAATATTAAAAGTTACAATTATCTGCATTTATTCCTCCCATTATTGCTCCTTCCAGGAACTTGGACACTGTCCTTCGGTGGTCTCAGGAATCTTTTCAACATAATTATTTCTCAAGAAAAGAAAATTTTGCTTTGAGCATTAAATGTATACATGGTTCTGCCATATTTATGGCTCTTGAAGTATTTGCTTCTTGGTTGAAAGCAGAAGTTATCCATATTGGTTGGAGGGCAGTTGTTATCTTCAGAAGTCTTTCTGTAAATCTATAATAGAATAGATTTTTATCAAAGGATAGTAAAGGAAAACAAAACAAAGCCCATTTACTTTCACATTCTGATATGCTTAATGCGTCCATTAAATTCACATCATGCATAAAGAGTTGCTTTCATATTTATTGAAGCCCACATTATAGGCTAGTCTAGTAGAGAACAAGAATACAAAGGACTTAATACAGCCAGTTGGAATGGCGGCTTCAACAAGGTTTTCCAAGTTCAGAGTCATCATTGTTCATTCAATAGGCATATATTTGAGGATCTATTATGCATTATCTTAGGCACTGCTCTTTAGCCATCACACATTTTATTTAAAAATGAAGTAGAAAGGCAGTTTATATTTCCATAATGTTGCCAGTTTCCTATGATATTCATCAATCTCTTAAATAATATTCAGTGCTGACTTACTTCCTTTTGGCTTATACATATACTCAGATCTCTCCTATCCAAAGAAGTCTTTCTTTGACACTGCTATCCTCTTAGCATCTCCCTTTAGTTCCTATATGCAACAATATTTTATCAGTTACCTACTACACTTGATACTTGATAATCTTGAAACTTTCTCCTGTCTTCTGTGGCACTTTCACCTCCATCTTTCATCTCTCCACTTCCAAATCATTACCAAGTATCAAGGATTGCACCTGTTGGAGATCTCCAATGCTACTGTCCTAATGGCAATATTCCAAGTAGCCTCTTGGGTTCTTTCTATCCTCTATCTCTCTCCAGATATACTGTTGCTAGATTTATCTTTCTTTTTTTTTTTTTAAGATTTTATTTATTTATCTTTAGAGAGGAAGGGAAGGAGAGAGGGAGAGAAATATCAATGTATGGTTGCCTCTGGTGTGTCCTCTGCTGGGACCTGGCCTGCAACCCAGGCACGTGCCCTGACTGGGAGTCGAACTGCAATCTTTTGGTTCGTAGGCCCGTGCTCCATCCACTGACCTACACCAGCCAGATAGATTTCTTTTTCTTGATAAAACTACAAATCATGACACTTCCTTCCTTAGTTTGCTTCTTTAAGATTTCTATCACATCGCTTCCTGACACAGCTTTTTCCTGATTAGCTCCACTAATTGATGACCTCCATAATGACCCAATGCTTTTCTACCTCTATGCCTTTGCTCCTGATATTCCTTCAAGAATGAAAACCTGTCTCCTTTTTCCACTCTCATATCTGGATCTCATCAACTCTCTGCTTGTGGAAATTGTACTCATACTTCAAGACATGGTATATTGGTAGTGGGGGTTAGACTTCATATAGCAGCTTACTGAAAAGAGTTCCAATAACATCTATTTTTATTTTTGAATATGAAATCTTCTCAGGTTATTTCAATCAGATGAGATCTCTTTCTTAGCCTTTTTGGTACCAGTTAGGTACTTTTTGTACTTCCTAAGGGCAGGAGGCATGTTGTGGAATTCATCTTTCTATAATTTACCTTTATTTTCCTCATAGTACCTAATGCTTGGAAGGTGTTTAATGAACATGTGTTGAACTTAATCAAGGGACCTTAATTTTGAAAAACACTAAGGATAGGAAGATAAATCAATAACATTTTGGGGAGGGTAATCATCAGAGCTCTAAAACTGCTTGCTTACTGGATGCTTTAAACTACCATACTACAATCTACATAGCTAAAAGGGAAGGGTATAAAGTCTTACCACTCTTCTTGAGAAGTTCTCCTTTTCGGGATTTATCCAGGTTTTCAAGAAACTGTTCAAAAACTTTTATGTAAGGACCTAGACTGGTCTTCTTATAATCTAAATTATAAATACCATGTATTATAATTAGTATTTTAACAGCAAGAATAACATGAAAGTATACCTTTTAAGTTTCTTGTAAGAATTCTAGCACAATAGTGTTTTATTGAAATACGATGAGAAACACGTACCCAAACATGTGCCCTGACCGGGATTTGAACTGGTGACCTTTCAATTTGTGGGATAACACCCAACCAACTGAACCACACTGGTCAGGGCTCATATTCCTGAATATACAATTCAGTCACAATTTAGATATATATATTTACCATAACACTCATCTGGATATACCAAAACTAAAGTAAAGAGCAAAAGTACTGCATACACAGTAGTTGTTTAATAAATGACTGTTGATTCTAAGACTGAGATTCAAACGATTATCAATACCAGTTGACAATTTAATCGTACAATATATATCCTGGCATTTAGATATTGCTTAGAAAGCATCTGATGATACAAATTGGATTTAACAGCATCTTTTGGGCAGACAATTGCTGAAGAAAGGAGGGAAACACTGCTATAACATTATTTGCTACTTAGTTTGTTTCAGGATAAACAATGATTCACTCTGGGCTGAATCCTGGAAGAATTAATTACTGGAGTGATGGAAAGATGTTTATATAAAAAGCTTATGTTAAAATGAAACATCGATATATTAACCTACCTCTGGTTCTATGTTTGATATTGGATTCAGGTTTGTTCTCCTCTTTTTCCTCTTCATTAGTGGGAATGACATCTAATTCATGGCAGATGGAGCTACAAATAATAGAATAAGAGAGTTTTAAAGTTGGTTCTTGGTCAACATTACCCAGTGTATCACAGCACATGAATCCCTTAAGATTCACAGAATCTTAAGATTTCTGTGAATTATGTGGCCAATTAAATTTGGGATATTCTAAAGACTATAATCTGCCCTGGCTGGTATAGCTCAGTGGATTGAGCACAGGCCTGTGAAGCAAAGAGTCACTGGTTTGATTCCCAGTCAGGGCACATGCCAGGGTTACAGGCCAGGTCCCCAGTAGCGGACACATGAGAGGAAACCGCACATTGATGTTTCTCTCCCACTCTTTCTCCTTCCCTTCCCCTCTCTCTAAAAATAAATAAATAAAATATAAAAGAATAAAAAAAACCTATAATCTCTTCTTAGAGTTTTCCTAGCATAATAGCATATTAAAGACTGGTAAATCTTGCAGTAAAGAACTTTTAATCCATTTAAATAAGCATTTCCCAAAATTACATGAACTTGAAAAATAATTTCTTTCCCCCAAAATTATTTAAAGTTACAGAGGTAGTAGAAGGGAGCCATCTGGGCTGTGTAGGCTCAGAAAACAAGTTACAAAAGCAGAAGAAAGGCCCCTGGAACTTAGGAGAAAGGCAAAGATAAATCATGTCAGGGGAAGAAGAAGGAGGGGAAGGGAAAGGTGCAGGTGTGCTCCTGAGAGGGAGAGCGTGCCTGGACTTAAAAATCTTTTTCTTGCATAACAGCAGCTGAAACACTGGTGCTCTGTGGAACTCACTAGGAAATGTTGCTCCACTAGGAGCCTCAAAGCGGCAGCCTCTCTGGAAGGGATCTAATCCAATCTACTTCAAATTCAGAACAATCACAAACAAAAGGAGTGATCGATGGTCTGGAACATACCTTACGGTCGGAACAGTAAAAGGATCAAACTGATCCACTTTCTGTAAATCAATAGGCACTGAAATTCGACCTGTAAGAACCAAAAGTTATAAATGGATGATTGTGGAATAAAAATCATTATAGGCTGTCTCCTGTAAGTTACTTTTGGCTAAAATTTTAATCTAATGTTTAGAAAAAGGGTTAGACTTACTTGTTAAGAGCAGCAGAACTAAAAATGAAAAGCACTTTACATTAGCTGTGCCTTTTATTTCTTTTAAAGAAAAAACACCAAAAACACAGGTGTGAAAGACTGTTGAGCTATTATCTAGTTGGTCTAATCTCTACTTTTATTTTTTTCTCCCTCTTCCTAATATCCTCTTATATTTAAGTACAGAACACTGTCAAATTGAGTGAATCTTTAAAATTTTTTTTTAATTGTGGTTCAAGTACAGTTGTCTACCATTTCCCCTCTAGACTGAGTGAGTCTTGAAAACTGAATGAAATAGATGGAAATAGTTCATTTCATTACCTGGGTTTATTTGCAGAAATCAAAACAGACACCTATATGGCCCTGGTCAGGTGGCTCAGTTGGTTGGAGCGTCATACCATATACCAAAAGGTTGCGAGTTCCATTACCAGTTTGCACTTGGATCCCAGGTTGGGGTATGTACAGGAGGCAACCAAGTGATGTTCCTCTCTAAATCCATGTATGTCTCTCTCTTCCCTTTCTCTAAAATCAATAGATATATCCTCTCATAAGAATTTAAAAAATAAAAATAAAAAAGAAAAGACACTTATATGTTGGGCATTTTGAGAAAGCACTTTGGAAATAAAATAGACATTACAAATATTACCTACCCTTTTATAATATCCACACCTGGGGCACTACATAAAATTCATTATATCTCAAAAATTGGATAATGAATCTAAAAAATGCCAGTGATTAACAAGTAAATAAGGAAATTGGGAATTGTTTACTGTCGTTAACGACAATAAAAAGATTGCAGCTAATCAACAGGAAAAGGATATCATCAAAATGTACACTTATGAATGAACATAATCACTTACCTAAACCTTGAATATTAGAATAAGGGGATACCCAATGAAGCTTTAGAATGAATCTTAAAATAAATGTTAAGCTTACTATGAAAAGAAGCTAAAAACAGTTGACAGGTATGTAAAAAGGGCTACATAAATGTATGGACTACAGTCATTATAGGTTATTCAGGGAAATAGGCAATTTGGAAGAAATGAATGTGTGATAATTTTCTAAGCACTTTATATTTTATGGCCCCAATAATCCAGTGGTGTAGGTACTGTTATTATCTCCTTGAGAAAACCAAAGCAACACACAATAAGTTACCTAACATCTTAGACCCAGTGGCACAGTTTGTTTTAACACTGTGGACAAGTCACTTTAACTTCATAAGCCCCATTTCCTCATCTGTACAATGGGAGCTACTGTCCTATAATTTTTAACACTGAACCTCAGAAACCCAACTGAAAATTATTTACATAGTGGAAACTCACCCAGTAGCTACTAATCAACAATTTAAAAACAAGTTAATATAGGTATTAGCTGACAGAACAATTCTTCAACCTTTAAATTGTCAGATATCATATGTATTCACACCCAGTAACATGCTTGCTAAAACAAAAAATAACTTTAATTTTTCTTTTAGTTTTCCCTGTTTCTTTACATACCTGTTTTAGGATGAACACTAAAAGGGCTCTTCAGCAAATGATTGATTCCTTTGCTAACATTGATATCTAGCCGTGGAAAACAGTACTGGAGCATGATCTCCCAATCAAGCCAGAGTCCACATCTGTCATTTTTGATGTCATTCTAAAAGCAGATGCAAGGCCAACATGAGAATCAGTAGGAACTTTTGAGGATTTCTTTCAAAGTGATTATAAAATAATGTTTGACCATCTTTAACTTAAAAAGCAAAACAATCAGAATTTAATTAAGAATTATATTATTCTGTAATACAGATTTCAATGGAATATATCAGATTTTGGCTACCTTCAAATACTCCTTCAAATGCTTCCAACGCTGAAGTGAACTGTGATGCTTTTGGAAGATTTTTTGCAGGTCATCACGAATTGGTGATGGATCATTAAGGAACATACTTGTTTAGGGCACATCAACAAACAATTTATCTGTTTATATAAAAAGTAATTACTGTTTTCTAAAATATGAATAAAAGAAACACTAAAAAAACCTTGTAGAAATACAGTAATGATATGACAAAAAGAATGCCAAAATAGCTATGCAGTTTAATGTAAAACCTTCCCTTGGTCTGTATATATTTTGGCAAAATAATTAAGCGTTCTTTAAATAGCCATTAATTCTGGGAGGATAAACTACCACAAAGAAGAAATTTACTTATGAAATGGCCTCGTGTCTTATTGTATTCCATACTAGATAAACAAAAATGTTGAGAATATGTAGGCAGAACACATGTACAGCATCACAGAATACAAGTAGCTCACACAGAAATGGTCTTAGGAAAGGATATTCTCAGGAACAAGAGCTAAAATCTTATCGCAGCTTTCTTTATTTCCAAGAATATCTTGCTCAACCAAGGCATATTCTTCAAAGTATTTATTTATTATGTTAATAGATTTTCTGTAAGAATAACAATAACCAAGTCCCAGTACTATTAGTCACATATACCCCATATACCAGTAGCTTCTGTTGCCATTTGGGAGGCTAGGACTTATTTTCATAGAATTTCTAGAACTTAACCAGGTAAAATGGGAATAATATCCCTTCACAGGTTGTGAGAGTTAACTTTAAGGGGAAAGAACTTAGCATAGTACCTGACTTATAATAGATATTCAAGAAATGTTTACTTCTAAGCTCCACAACTTAGAGTGTTAATATTAACATCATAAATACGGGGTGAACAAAAGTAGGTTTACAGTTTATGAGTACACAAAAGAGCTTATTCTTGTATCATTATTTATTCTTACATTTTTTTCCCATAAGAGCAACTGTAAAACTACTTTTTGGTAGAAAGCAACCAATTCAGGACAGCATAATAATACATCAGTAGTAGAATATGGGACACAGCCTATTCATTCTACTCTGAACTGCTTGCTTTAACATCTCAAATATTATATAGTGCTTAACAATTTGCAAATAGACTTCACATCTACTGTTTCATTTAATCTTTGTTGCAACTCTGAGACAGATGGAGCAGATGTTGTTCTGTCCTTTATCCTAGAGAAGTAGTGAATTCAATGGAAAAAGTATGGTTTTGATAACAGGCAGAGGAGAACACAAATCTGAATTTAACAATTACTTGTCTCATGCCAAACTAATTAAACAAATCTTCCAAATCTCACTTTGTTCATCTGCAAATGGAGGTACCATCATCACATCCCTCAGAGGTTGCTGGGAAGACCAATGACAACATTTGTAAAGCAGTAGCATACAAGAGACATTTACTTAACTCTAGCTCTTATTATTGTGAAATGCAACCCCAGCAGAGAAGATCGGTAGCAAGGTGTACAGAGCAAGAGTAGAGTGGACTTTTTTGACACCTCTGACAATCCAATATGGAATCACTGTCAGCCATGACAGTTATGGCAAGTGCTATGTCAAGACTGAGGTAATGGAGTGTAACAGGAATGCCTCTATTAGGGACCCAAAACACCTAAAAACACGAGCCTGGACACTTGGATGACTCCATCTGGACACAGATGAATGAGACCTCTACCCCTGGTGGGCTATTAAAACTCAGAGCTCTGACCTCCCAATGCTCAACCTTGGCTATATCACAAGTCACGCTCTAAGCCCTGCTGAACTTCCACTCCACTGGATGCACAGCCACCTAGCTTGACACTGACACCCGCCTCTCCACCCGCAGATGCCACTGGTGACTGGGGCTTTGCACTGTATACTCACTCTGCTTCTATCATGTAACCTTCCCTTCTCCGTGTGCAACCTGCCTGTGACTACTGGCTTATTTGGGAGGTCTCTCCTAATGAACCTGGCATTGTGGAAAGACGTCATGTGAGTGAGTCCTTTCAGGGACACTTCTTTGCTCATGACACAAGGTAACACTACAAGCACAAGCACATGCAGGTTTGGCAGACATGAACTGCATGAAGTCTTTTCCAACAGACCTGACAAAAGGGTGAATATTTTCACTTAGGTGAACTTTCTTTTTAACGTCTTGACCACCCTGAAAAATAAATCATCAAGAAAGACCTTCATGTATATTATGTAACATAAAAATATTTTAAAATTTTCTATATATTCTAAAAATACTGATTAAATTATGTCAAAGTATAAAAAGTCATATGCTATTTTATAGTCTCAATTCCTGTAATTTTTTGGGTTAACTTTAGTTGACTTAATTGAACCAGGAAAGTAAACTACTTATCTTCCTTTTGCTACAAAGGAGGGTACTTATAACAAAATATGAAATACCTTTTAAACATATAGCTACTATCATTTTAAATCAATCTACCGGTAAGATCACCTACTTTGGAAAGTGGATCCTATATAAGATAGTATAATTTTGTTACTGAACATACCTGGCTTGATACATCTAGCAAAAAATTATCATTTAAGATCTTAACCTTAAAAAAAAAGATCTTACCTTTACAAGACTCAAATACTCAACTATCCCAGACCGTACTGCAGAGGACAATTTTCTTACTGATTCATCACAGACCCAACAATGAACACCTCTTCTTCCGGAATATACCCAAAGGCGGTGCTTAAATCCAAAGTCCTCTGAGGAGGAGAAACAGAGTAAGTTTTAAAACAAATCTATAAACTCCTGGTTCTTGCTTACTTCCTTAGCCTCATTCTTTTTTTTTTTTACCTTTTAGCCACATGTACTCACCTGAGCTGTATTAAGTTAGTTGTAATTTCCTGCGCTGCACCTGCTCACCCCCCATGCTCTTGTCTTCATTACTTTATCTATCCTGGTCTCTCTGCCAAGAATTTCTTCCTGCCCCAGCATTTCCATTTCTGTCCCTAATCAAATGTCATTTATCCTTAAAGACTCAGTCTAGAAGACAGTAAAGTAGTTAATAAATTTAAAGTGCTTTGAACTGTACCTGGCGCATAATAAGCCCCCTATGTAAGACCAACTGTTATCATCCTTATCACCGCCTCTTTTAGGAAGCCTTTTCTGATCCAGTCTCTTCCCAATCCTGTATGCACTCCTGCTGTTTTATATCCTCATAGCATCCCGTGTATATTACTTAACACAAAGCTGATTCTTAATTTTTTATTTGTCTCCTTAGACTGTGTAACCTATTTGAGGTAAGAATTGTTTGCTTTCACATTTCTCTCACCAAGGACAGTACCTGGCATATACAGTTGCTCATTATATGATTGAATTGAGAAAAAATGCACTGGTTTGATCACAGCTTTATTTGAGTCTCAACTATAACTTTGTTGTAATCTTTTACTTTCTTATTATATGATTTAAGGAAACATGTTAGAATGTTAAGGCATTTGATTATAAAATGGTAGAGACTACTATTCAGAGGAAAGCAGTCTTGCATTTGACCCCACTCAGACATAGTGGATACTTGCCCTTCAATGCCCGGTCGATGATGCGGATGGCCATCGTCATGAGGGTCCAGCACTTAGAACATATGTCTGCAGAACTGCAGTAGAAACATCATTACTCACTGTCAATGATATTACCCATCCTACCAACAAGGAACCCAGTTATTTACCTACAACAGCTCCTCACATCATCATAGTCTGTCATGTCAATGTCGAACACCAGTTCTTTTTCCTGAGCCTGGAAAGCTCCCAGCTTCACTGTATTATGTTGACTGGGCTACAAGTATAAAATATCAATCAGTTTCTATAAGACCTGCTGTGCTGCCAAATATGCTTGTTTTCTACCCACACAGAAGTGGCCAAAAAGTAAAGAAACCATATAATTTGAAGTTGATGTCAGCTCATTAATTAATCCTATACATCCAGAATTGATGATAGTATAACTTTCATCTACTTAAATAAAACAGGGCTTGGTAAAGATCATCCAATTTTTTTCTAGTTCTGCTGAGATAATTGATATAACATTGTATAATAAATATTTGTTGATCAATAGAAATTACAAAGTTTCTTAAGGTTTTTGATAAGGAAAAATACATATAATTAATGCCCCATTGCAAGGTGTTCTTTTTTTTAATTAAAAAAATTTTAGTTATTTTTCAAGTACAGTTTTTTGTCTATTTCTCCCATCCCAGCACCCCCTGCCCCTTCTCCCCAGCAAGGTGTTCTTAAGGAAGCAATGTTTTCAAAATTCTGAGGGAAAATGATTTAGATATTCAGCCATTAGTTAAGCATAAATGTATAATGAAGACATTTTCCAGATATAGCAAGTGTGAAATATTGTCTTCCATGTGCTTTTTCTCAGGAAGCTCCTGGAGGATGTGCTCCATCAAAACAAGGGAGTAAATCAAAACAAGAAAGATCATGGGATCTGGTCAATAGGGAATCCAACATGTGAGAGAGGTGAAAAGAAACCAAGGTGATTATAAGATCACACTTATCCATCATGTGTGGTGAGCAGTCAGTCCAATTTGGAGGTCAGAAGGCTGTAGGACAAATTTCTTCAGGATTGCAATAGACAAACTACCCAGTGGGTGTGAATATATCAGATTTAGACAACTAGCAGAGTTTCAGGTTGAATTTATGTCTACTAATTTTTAATCTAACAAACATATTAGGAGTGTGGGAATGGGAATGTTGTACGTGTAGTGAGGATACAGGTTAAGGTAAAAAAAAAAAAGCTAAATTCTCATCTGCCAGAGTGGAAAAGTCAGTAGATAATGCCTAAAATGTAAAAATGGAAGAAATATAAGTATGTTATTTAAAGACAAGGAGACAAATACCATAAGAATCAGCTAACAGAGAGTGGTTGCGTCTGGGGAGCATGAAACAAGTGGAGTAAGAGACTTTTAAAAAAAATTTTAAACCAATGGTCTCCATAGTTTACTTGATTTTGTAAATTACGTGCATATATAGCTGTAAAGGTCACAAACAAAATATTTTTAAAAGGTCTATGGATGGTTCCCTTGTGGCCCAATAAAAAAATGAGGTATTTCCCCCCTTCAGTGTTAGAGAAGAATAGCGACACCCTAGCCCTTCAAGAAAGATTCCAGTTTTAATCTCCACCTCTAAAGAGGAGTGAACTGCTCCAAAGCATTTTTCCTGCCTGCTTTCTCTTACCCCATCTTCTTTCCTTCCCCTGGGATTTAGAGTCAGAAAACTTTACTATCATTTAGGAATTGTGTAACCTAAGAAAAAATTATTAAAGTTCTCCAGGCCTGTTTTCTCCTTTGTAGACAAAACAAAAACAAAACAACCCTCCCAAAACGGTGAGAATTGATATGAAAAACAAGTTATACAACATATAAAAACCTCCAAGACCTGGCTGGTGTAGCTCAGTGGATTGATCGCGGGCCTGCGAACCAGAATATCGTGGTTCAATTCCCAGTCAGGGCACATGCCTGGGTTGCAGGCCAGTTCCCAGCAGGGGACTCATGAAAGGCAACCATACATTGATATTTCTCTCCCTCTCTCCTTCCCTTCCCCTCTGAAGATAAATAAATAAAATCTTTTAAAAAGAATAATAAATAAATAAATAAAAACCTCCATATAAATGCTATCGTCCATGTGTGTATTTTTCCTCATGTGTACACTTTTAAGGAGAGGAAGAAGGGCAATTTTTGGTATGTTCATTCATTGAGCAAGTATGTATGGTATACTCTCTCAGGCACTTAAAATACAGCAGTGGCAGGGGGAGACAAGAGATTGCATGTTGCAGTAGGCCTTATTGAGTAAGGACTTGAATGAAGTGAAGGAAAGAACCAAGATATCTGGGGAAATGGGTTCTAGGCTGCTTGAGCAAGGGCAGTGTGGCAGGGGGGGAATGAGTGAGGGGGAGAGAGGTTTTTACTCTGAAGTGAAATGGGTAGCCACCGGAGAATGGTTTTGAGCAGAGGAATCACAGGACCCGACTCGTTTTAAAAGGATCACTCTAGAGTGTTGAATTGAGACGATAGAATCTACGGGAGCAAACTGTTAGGAAGACATTAGTCATTCATATGAAAGATAATGATGAAGGTAGTAGCCCTGGTAGCACTAGTGGGATTTTACATGTTATTATGGTAGAGATTTCCTAATAGAAGGGATATAGGTGTGTGAGAGGAGTGAAGAATGACTCCAATGCAGGGAGAGAGTATAATTCTTTAATTCCCTCCTTAAACCATGCTGACTTCCACATTTAGTCTTTAAGCCACGTATTCGATTTTTTGTCCTAGTGAGAACACAACCAATTCGCTTACAAATAATTTCCAGTCAGTGATGCAGAGTACCAAAGTACAAAAACAAAAAACCCCAATTTACTTGCAAAAACAGTTAAATGAAATGTGGTTTTATTTACTTTTCAGAGTAAACTCTAAAAATTTATCTCAAAACGCTGGAGATTCTTCGTGTAAAAAACCAACCAACAAAATACATAAAAACCCGATATCTTACTCTGTGGGAATATACTGCGCCTATATCGATCTTGTACGGATTCATTTTCTGCATCTCCTTTTCCAGATCACTCTGGTTGTTGAAGGACTGATAGCGAATGTAAATATCATCTTTTAACGTAAATGAAAATTCACGGTGTTGAAAGTAATTCTTTATCACTGCAAGATAAATGTACATTTTAAGTTAATTTGGTACTTTATTCAGCTCTGGGCCTTAAAACATTAGCCAATAATAAGATATTTTTATTAGCCCTTTGTGCCCAACACTGCGCCAGATGTAAACAACAATTTTAAAAAGGCAAGACCTAGTCCCTAATTTGAAGATGCTTACCACACGGCATTTCATGGTTAATAGTTAAAATGAAAACATATGCAGAAACAGTGTAAATTTATAACGCCACCTTGGTAGGCCACCTCCATCTCCACGGTGGGCAACTCAATCGGAACGAATTAAGCACCTCTCCTCTTCTGGGAGATGTCCCTCTGTCCCTGATGCAGATCAAACCTCTGCAGTTTCATACTACGACCCCGTAACCCTTAGGCTCAAGAACCGCGGCAGGTAAACCCAGCACCCAGTGCGAATCCTACCACGCAATGGTAGGATCTGCGGCTCTACTTTTCGTTGTGTGGCCGCAAGCTGGTCATTATATACTCTCTCAGCCCATTTACATTTCAGAGGTGGTGGTGGGGAGGGCTCAACGAAATCGTGAAGGTGCCTAGTCCAACACTCGCAAGCGGAGGGGACTTAATATTGTCACGCCAAAATACTCTCCCTGAACCTCTTCACATTCCCTTCCCGACCCCACTACCCACCCCGCTCCCGGCCGCCATCACCTCCGCCGTAGTTGAGCCAGCGATAGTACTGAGAGTATGGGAAAAGTCTCCGGTAATAAAGCTTAAGCAGCTCTGGTAGTTCGGCGGGGTCAAACGGCTCCATGGAACTTGGTACTCAGGCCCAGCAGAATTACAGCAAGAATTGGCGGGAACCTCTCAAGGTAGCCTCATCCACTGCGCAGGCGCACAATGTCCGCGGCCTGCCGTCTGCAGGGCTCGCTGGGAATTGTAGTCCCCACTTTGGGGTTTGGCTTAGGCGTGGGAGGCGCTCCCGCTGTCTCCTCCGCGCATCCTCTCTGACGAAGGGTCCTCAGGTTGGCAGAAGAGGACCCTCTAATTCCAGGAAGTTGGGCTGCGGAAAGGTGAGCCCTTGAGCATATTGACTTAGGGTTATAATGATGAAGTAAAAAAAGATGTTCGCTAATTTATGCATATTATAGAAATAACACATTTAACCAATGTAAACCAATACTTTTTTAAAGTGTTTAGAAATTAGTTTGTCATAGAATTACTAGGCCCAACATATGGAAATATTTCTCAACCAAATGCGAAAAGCAAAGGCTATTTATTCAGAGTTTGCTATAAAGATAGGGAGTCAGTCACTGTCATTTGCATTTTGGCAGAGACTCAAAGGCAGGAAAAGCTTTAGGGCAGAAAAAGGAGGTTTCAGGTGTGCCCTGATTTAAGGCTGTTTGCTTTGGGAAGCTGTAGGTGGACTAACTAGGAGTGGGGCATCTTATGCGATTTGGTTAGGGGTGCCAGTTGCCCTCTGTAAGTTAGAAGTGGGGAAGACACAAGTTATTAATCAGATTCTAGCGATTTTGGGCCAAATGCTACAGGTTTTATTATTTGGCTTATTGGACTATCACTAGAGACAGGGCATCTGATTTATAGCAGGCTGGCTTCCTGGGTATTTATTATAAATGACAGTGTTGGTTTCCTGGGTAGGCTTCTGCAAGTTGTGGGTCAGAGTTCTCTTGTATATGGTCTGGCTATTGTTTGCATATTCAGGCTCTCAAATAGAACACTCAGGAATACTAAAACCTGAATTAGAGAAAGCTTGCAGAATCATGGAGAATTTTACAAGTATGAAAGGAGTCTGTGTGCTATTGATGTGCAGATCCGTCAGTCTTACCTGGTAAAGATACACCTTGTTGCAACTGTGGAGTTGAAGTGGGCGATCTGACTTGGTTGGGCAAATCGTTCTGCAAATCAAAAGGCTACCTGTTGCCTGGGTATTAGGTTCAGTCCCTGATGTGGTGTGCAGTGGATTTCAATGTTTCCTTCTCTTTCCTCCTCCCTTCCCCTCTCTCTATCAATAAATTTAAAAAATTAAAAAAACCATTATTTTCGTAAATTTTATTTTTACAATAATAGTAGAAGAGTAAGGAGGGAGTAGTCTGTAGTAAGTTATTATTAGCCTAATCTTAAAAATGATTATGGTCCCTTAGCTCCAGTCAGCTGTGTGGTAAAAAAATGGGGTCTGAGCCCTGGCCAATGTGGCTTAGTTGGTTGATCACTGTCCCTTGAACATTGTCTCTTGAACTGAAAGGTCACCAGTTCAATTCCAGTTAGGGTGCATGCCCAGGTTGCAGGTTCAGTAAGGCAGTCAATCTTTCTCACATCAATGTTTCTCACCCTTTTCCTCCCTGCTTCCCCTCTTTCAAAAATAAAAAATAAAATATTTTTTAAAAAGAGGTCTGGGAAGATCATATTTACTTGAATGTTCCTAGAAACCTGGCTTCCTGCACAAATCTTAGTTGATTTTCACAATCCCTGTGCATCCTGTTTTGGGTAGGGTGAACTTCATTACTGGGAAGGTCTTCACTATAATAAAAGGAAAGAGAGTGCCCTTGCTGTAGAGTGCTTTTTTCCAGAATCATGTTCTCCTGGTCTTTTTACATGGAGGTTTCTCAGCTTCCTCATTACTGCCTCTAGCAACAGACTTCTGTGGGCTATTTGGGAATCCATTTAAATGTCAAGAACACTAAGGAGTGTAGCAGCTTAAGGAGCTAAGACATATGGGAAGAAAAAAAGGAAGTTATATTTATTGAATTCCTACTGTATGCTTGCTTTATTCAACATTCTTTCTCATCAGAAAAAGAAAAAAATAAAGGCTATAGCATTTGCTATGCCATTAAGTACCATTTTAAGAACTTATTCCTCAACCCTGGCTGATGTGGCTCAGTGGATTGAGTGTTGGCCTGAGAACCAAAGGGTTGCTGGTTTGATTCCCAGTCTAGGGCACAAATCTGGATTTTGGGCTAGGTCCCCAGTGGGGGCTGCATGAGAGCACCACACATTGATGTTTCTCTCCCTCTCTTTCTCCCTCCCTTCCCCTTTCTAAAAATAAATAAATAAATCTTAAAAAACAATTAATTTCTCATAAGAACCTTGTGTGGTATGTACAAATATCCTTATTTTACAGATGGAAAAATACACAGAGAGCTTGAGTAATTTGCCCAAGGTCACACAGCCAGTAAGTGGGAATCAGACAGCCTGGCTCCAGAGTCTGTGTTCAACCCCTAAACTACATGCTATGCCTTCTCAACAAGGGGTTGTCGTGAGGGTTCAATGAAATAAATGTGCCTGGCGTAGTTCATGGTCCAGAGCTACTCAGTATAAGAAAACTTACTCTGTGAAAGAACTCTGTTATGGAGGCTTTCACTCCAGGTGCCACTGAGAGGCAGTATTGCCATTCAGTTGGTTTCCTTTGTGCTTCCACATGGGTACAAAACCCTTTTGTCCTTCAAGCCTTACACTTTCTACCATCCTCTTTACTTTTATTATTTATGTGTACTGTCACCCTCTTTGGGTAATATATCAGCCCTAGGTCCCTCTCTCCAAGTTCTTCACAGACTTGGACACCTACCTTATGGACTTTCTTTCCCATTCAACTCCTATGGTTATTCTGGATGTTTTTAGCATGTAAAAGGACGATCTATTCTTTAAATATACAGTTCATTCAGTCATTCTTTAACTCAAGCATTTATTGCACAGTTAATGAACACTTGTGTTGGGCACTTAGCTAGGCTCTGGGGAAAAAAATTAATAGCATGATTTCTGCTTCCAAGAAAGTTATAGTGTAGTAGGGGCAATAGACACAAATCAAAAAGTATAATGAGGTGTTATAGATGCATTTATAAACCAACAGTCTATTCACATCAGCACTTTCCTTTAGACTTGGGTAAAATTGGTACAGGGAACACAGTCACAAAAGTGCAAATGTCATGGCCCTTTCAGGATAGAGCTCAGACTTCAGCTGAAGGCATAGTGAAAGATGCAGCTTCTCTCTCAGGCAAGAGAGAGAGGCAAGCCATGGCCAGAGCATTTCATGTCAAGCATTTCATTTCTAAGGCGTGTGGAAATAAAAATGATTCATTTTTCACTTTTATTCAACTTTAGTTAAAATTAAAATAAAATATTGATCATATTAATATTTGATGTGAAATCTTGGGAATAAATAATCTTGTTGAAAGAAGAAATTGAAAATTTGCAGTACTCTTATGCTAGTTATTTTCCTCAATAAGAGAGAGAAGATTAGAGAATAAGTTCTATTGATAGAAAAGCATAATAAACATGGAGACTATCTAGGTGGGGCCCATGGCATATTTAAATTAAATTATATTAGGTTTTGTCTCTCGTTATCATAAACTACTGAAAAAGTAATGAAGAGCACCATCATATTTGCTTAATGCCTAAGTTTTAGTTTGATCTCCTAGAAATATTTCTTGTAACTACACAGTAAATGATATCACCACAAAGCAAATAAAACACGTATTATGGTACATTGCAATTGTTCTTTAATCTATATAATGAATTTGATGTATGAAACTGAATTTTTACACCTAAGCTATCTATCAATTAACTGACCAGATTTCTGATAAGTAACCTACCAATATACATATTGTGTATATTCTCTACACAATATACATATTGCGTAGGTTCTCTTGTTAGTCATAAAGCAACATGGGCCTAGCTTTCTCCTTGCAGACTGCTTAAAATAAAGGATGGCAGATTCACATCAGAACACAACGTTAAACCTTGTTCCTCCACAGGAATTTGGATTTGTTTGAAGACAGTGAGGACCTTAGAAGGCTTTTGAGTAGGGGAGAAACATCATCAAAGTTGTGTTTTAGAAATAAACTCTGGAGCCCTGTGGAGAGAGCAACCAGAGGTAATGGCAGGAAATTGTTGCTGGAATTCAGGTGACAAATACTCGTGGCCTGAACTAAGACAGTAAGGTAGAGATGGAGGGGACTGGGTGGATTAGGTAGACATAACTGCTTGATGGAGAAGTAATATCAATTGGATGTTAGGGAATGAGGAAGTTGTCTAAGATGATTTCCCAGGTTTTACGTTTGGGCAATTGGATGGAAGGGGGTTTGTCTGGAACCTAGTTGGTACTCATAAAAGTTGTTGAGTATCTATTGAATACATGTAGGAATAGGAAATAACATGGAAATAAGGAGGAGCATCAGATTGCAGTGACTCATCATTATTTCACTTTTGAAAAGTTGAGTTCAAGTTACTGCTGTAACCCCCTTACCTGCCCTTCGCTTTTCTCCCATAGCCCTCATCACAGTGTGTAATTGTTTATTTATTTCCGAACATATGTATTTAATGTCAATTTTCCCTACTAAAATGTTAAATTCTAAGGTTTCATGTATCATGTCTGCTTTACTCATTTCTAGTATCTACAGTAACTAGTTAGTATAGCACCTAGCAAATAGTAGTGTGGGGAGCAAAAATTGCCACCCCAAAATATGTCTCTAGCATGAGTATAAATTTAGGATGATTATTTTTAAGAAACAGAAGACTCAGTAAGTTCTATAGATCTTCTTCTTAATTGCCTAAAAGAATTTAAATAAAGGGCCTATTCCTGGAATAGAGCTACCACCAGAGATATCTATAAAGAATATGGGCTAGGTGTGGTGGGGGAGACTCAAGGACCTTAGAGACCAGAGCCTGCTTTGTGTCCCATGGTCTCTGCGGGGTCTAGCAAACATTCGTTTATCAAACATTTACTTTTTCACCTCTATTTGAATTGCCTTCCTCCTCTTTGAAGTCACAAACCACTACCCTTTTTTCCTTAGCTCAGATGGCTCACAAGCCTCAGCTGCCCAATTTTTCCTTGGTGTCCCTTGCACCCCATATTCTTGTGGAACCC